CCCCCCACTGGGGATCAAGCCTGCAACCCAGGCTTGTGCCCTAACCAGGAATCGAACTGTGACCTCCTGGTTCATGGGATGATACTCAACCACTGAGCCACGATGGCTGGGCCAAAATAATTTCTTTCCTAATGACTGAGTGTTTATGTACTTCGTGAAAATTAGAGTGTGCAGGCACAAACCTGCCGCTTTACATGACGCTGGATAGCTTCTCTCCCACTTCACGGTAGAGCAGTTTTTCGCTGGACACCCTTCTCTTTGCATTCACTATATCACTTATATATCACATAACTTACAGAGGAGAAAAAGAGCTGGAATTAGTGTATTAAATAATAATGAGAATGAATAGGACAGGAATGGCATTATTAGGAAGCATTGTGTTATGGACCAAATTACGTCCCCAGCCGCCCACGCATATGTTGAAGCCCTAACTCCCATTGTAACTGTATTTGTGAGTCTTTAAGGAGGTAATTTAGGTTAAATGAGGTCATAAGAGTGGGGCCCTAATCCAATTAGACTGGTGTCCTCATAAGAGGAGGAAAAGGCGCCGGATCTCTCTCTCTGCCCCTCTACCCTTCTCTCTTTGCATGCACACATGAGAACACAGTGAGGAGGAGGCTGCCGTCTCCAAGTCAGGGAGACAGTTCTCATCAGAACCCAACGTTGACGACACCTTGATCTGGGACTTCGAGCCTCCAGAACCATGAGAGAATAAATTTCTATTGTATAAGCCACCTAGCCTGTGGTATTTTGTTATGACAGTCCTAGCAGAAGAATACAATTGGCATGAAGAGATAGAGGTGGGGTTGGCTGGCAACTCTTCGGGTTTACTCTGTAAATAATAATATATTTTCTTCCCATAATAGAGTATTATGCTTAAGTCATAGAGGTTCGTAGACAGTAAGCCTTTTTGGTTCTATAGCCATATCTGTACAGTGGACAGTTAGTTGACTTCATAGCTTTCTTTTCAGATACAGCATTCTCTGTGGACCACTTCTATGGGTATACTTTCTTTGATTTTCATAAAACAACACTAAAAGAGGACTGGCTGAGAGGAGGAAGGTGAATTCGGAGCTAGGAAGGTTCAGAGTGTACTGTACTTCTGCATCTTACATTTTTAATTTTCTCTTAATCCTCACCAGATATTTTATCCATTGCTTTTGAGAGAGAGTGGAAGGGAGAAGAGAGAGAAAGAGAGAAACATCAATGTGAAGAGACACATTGATTGGTTGCCTCCTGCACCCCCCACTGGGGCGGGGATCGAGCCCGCAACCAGAATCAAACCTGCGACCCTGCGGTCCGCAGGCCAACACGCCAGCCACTGAGCCAGACAGGCTAGGGCACACCATACATTTGGAATCTGAATAAATAAGTGATCTTTTCACAAATTACCATAAGCTATAACCTAATCAAATGCCTAAATCAGAAATGCCAATTTTTAAAGGATCAGAATATTTTAATATCTGTGTCAACACACATTTCCTTATAAAGTTAAGCTCCCATCTAGTTACAATGTTGTCAGTAGGAATTCAACAATATAATTATGTTCCTGAAATCGTTTTGCTAACAGGTGAGGTTAACATGAAGCCTGGAATGTTTTTCAGAGTGTTTTAGTGAAACTGCGAGGACAAAATGCCCTTAATGCTGAGGCCACAACACAGGAATCAAACGCCAGCATTTTCATGGTTCTGCCCCTGAAGTGACTGGAGCAATACCGTGACTGGGTCATTTTCCCCGTGTGACTCAGGTTTCTTTACGCATTTGTTTCGTTTGCTTTTGGCAGTAAATCCATCCAGGCTTACCAAATTCTTGGCCTGTTGTGCTTTGTGTGTGTTTCTAGAAACTTCACAAGGTGGAAGGGGTGAGAGATGTGGGTGATGACATATAAAATATATCTCTGTTGAATGATAAAAGAAATTGCAGGATACACAGTATAATGATATTTAAAATTAAAAAAATCTCTCAAGCAGTAGTGTGGTGTTTGCCAGAGGGGAGGGTGTGGGGGCTGAAGGGGGTCCTAATATATGGTGATGGGAGAATTTCTGACTTTGGGTGGTGGGCACACAGTGTAATATACAGATCTTGTAACCCACACCTGGAATCTATTTGTTCATATTAACCAATGTCACCACAATAAATTTAAAAAAATACAAAATCTCACAAAAATGCATTGTTTTTGGATTTTATATCATAGTCATGGGGATGTGAAATACAGCATAAGAAATGCAGTCAATAATATTGTAATAGCTATGTAAGCACCAGACGGGTACTGGGCTTCTGATCACTTTGCCTATCACCATGTTGTATAACTCAAACTAATATAATACAGTATGTCAAGTATAATTGAAAAAAGTTATGTGTACACTATACTGTAGTTTGTTAGGTATACTATAGCATTATGTCTAAAAAATGTACATATTTTAATTCAAAAATACTTTATTGCTAAAAAATGCTAACCACCATCTGAACCTTCAGCAAGTTGTGGCTTTTTGCTGGTGGAGGGTCTTACCTTCAATTTAAAAAAAAAAAAAAGCAGTATCTCTGAAGCTTATAAAGAGAAGCACAATAAAATGAGGTCTGCCTGTACTATCAATTGAAGGTTTACCACCTGCAAAGTTTTATTCCAAGCATTTTGTATACAACCCCTTATTTAGTTATAATGGCAGTCTTCTATTCTAGCTTAGAAAACTGAGGCTTGGAAAATTTCAATGACTGGTTCATGGACTTAAATACAGGTTTATTTAACTTTACAATATCTGTAATAGGTTGAACTGTGCTCCCCCTATAAAGGATGTGTTGAAGTTCTAACTCTCAGTACTACAGATTGCGCCCTTTTTTGGAAATAGGGTCATTACAAATGTGATTGGTGAAGATAAGGTCATCCTGGAGTAGGATGGGCCCTGTTTTCCTTACAAGATGGCATGTGAAGACACAGGGAGAATGCTATGTGATCACGGAGGCAGGGACTGGAGTGATGTGGCTGCAAGCCAAGGAATGGCAAGGTTTGCCAGAAGCCACCAGAAGCTAGGAAGAGGAAGGAAAGATTCCTCTTCAGGTTTCAGAGGGAGAGTGGCATTGCCAACACCTCGAAAGCCGACTTCTAGCCTCCAGAGCTGTGAGACAGTACATTTCCGTTGTAGTAAACCACCCAGTTTGTGTCACAGCAGTTCTAGGAAACCAATACAACAGCACATCACTTCCTGCTTAGTTAGTATCTGCTGACTGACCAAAATGAACCTCTGAAAAAAAGAACCTGAGTTGCTATTTGGCTATGTAAGATCATAGTTAGTTAGTAGAATTCGATATCCATTTTTAGGTGGTAAAAAGTGCACTTTTACCTATCAAAAGCACCATATATTACCGCATTTAAAACTGCTTCATAAGAAAGACGTCTTGTTATGAAATCTAGAATACTTTTTTTGCAAAATGAGAATGTCTCACCTAAATAAACATCATGGATAACACTGTCGTGTGACAATCTTGATAGATTCCCAGATTCTGTAGTTGTTTTTATAACTCCAGTGGTAGTGAAATTGTGATAGTAATAGTAGATCCTGTATTTGTCCCATAGTATTAGTTCTGGAAGTGCTGAATATAGAAAACGTGGAACTATGAAACTGTCAATCATGGCATCTAATGCAAAGTCTTGCTGCACCCACTCATGTGTATCTTCATTATATATCGCTAGGTAAAATTTTTTAAGGACATTACAGGTAAAGCAGTAACTTAATAACAAGGCAAGTTCCATAGGATGTGCTGTATAGTCAGCATTGTGTATAGTCAGACTAATAGCTGTGGATAGATTTAAAGTCTGTCTCAGTTCTCTAGTATTTGTTATTTTGACAAATTTAAGAGAAGTGTATCCAAGATAAAATTCTGTTCTTGTCCAGACTGCCAAGTTGCTTCTTTTATTACCCTGTGACAAAATTGAAAATAATTAGAAAATCTTCAGTTTTAGGGATAGTCCTAACAATTCCTGTCTTCTAACTTGCTACATTTAAAAGTAAAACATAGTAACTAGTAAGGTTTAGATTTTACTATATTTCTGAGAAATACTTCAGACATAGAAATACATGACATAGAAATATGTCATATTACATATGACCATAAAAAGAAATTATTCCAGTAATTTTATTTTATATATTGTTTTATCAATAGAAAATATTAATCTCAATTTTCTTTAATTCCTCAAAGAGTATCAATCCTCTCTTTTCTTATGTATTTATTTACTCTGGCCAGGACCTTGCTTATTACTAAGGTCAGTCAATAAGGACATTAAATTATTTTTGGAATTCTAGTTTTTTTGGGTATCAGATAAAGGGAAGAAAGAACTTAAAACTTCAAACAAATCAATACTACCCTTTTATGGACAGAGTCTGTTAGAGAAAAAGGCCATTCAGAGACAATATCTAAAATTCAGTGGGCCTTATTTCATTTAGAGAGCCAAGGCACCCCCTTCTCTGGCTGTTTCTAATTCTTAGAGATTTTTATTTAAAATGTAACTTCTAAGTCCATGACCACCAAAAGGAGTCTTTTGGGCACATCTTGTCTCTTAGTCTATACTCAAATAGGATGTAGACAGATACCAAACTGGTAACCAAAGAAAGAGAGTATTTGGGGTAAAAAAATATTATCAAATGAAGATTCAACTTAAAGTTTAGAGTTCATGTTGCTGGAAAAGTGTGAAACAACCCTCAAGGAGGAAACAGATTAGAAACAAGATGAGCCCTTCATAGAAAAGACTCACTCACAGCTATTTTCATTTTTGGCAGAGGGATGGGAAGAGGAATGTGCCATAAATATGATAGATGGAAATTCCAAGGAGCCCCAGCCCTGGAATGAATTTCCACTCACCCACAAACTCTCTCCCATAGATCTACACTTAGTGCTTGGGGCAAGGCAGGGGAGCTGGGAGATCCCTCTGAAGCATTCAGGGCCTCTTGCAAATGTAACACATAAGCTTCTGAAGATGGGGAGGGTCAGGCAGCAAAGCTGAGAGAAATCCACCTGCATTCTGGATTCTCAGGTACCACAGGCTGGGAGTGGGATAAGAGAGCAGAGAGAAACTTTCCCTCTGAGACGTGCTTGGCCTTTACTCAAATTGTAAAGCAGCCTCCCTGCCAAGACTGGGGACAGGGAAGCAGGAGAGAAAGACACATCTGCCAAGGCACAAAAACCCAGGGGCAGATGAGAGAGGAAAGAGAATTTCTTGGTGATTAAAAGAGAAGCTCACTGCTAGGCTATAAAGTAGAGACAGCGCTCTCATGGTTTGGAAAGCTGGTGGCTCAGTTGCAAAGTATGAAGAGAGATCTGGAATCTTGTCAGTGCTAAGATCCCAAGCATGGCTAAAGGAAAATAATGCTGATAAAAATGTTGAAGTTTCTAGTGGGAAAGAGGCCACATGATGGGCAATCAGCTGAGATATGTAAATGACAGGAAAGAAGAAAATGGAAATGCTAGAAATAAATATGATGCCAGGAATGAAGAATTATTAGATACATTTAAGAGTGAATTGGGAGAAGCAGAAGAAACAGTGAACTTTAAGACAGTTAATAGCATGTATATTAACTGAAGTACAAAGATAAAAGCATAGTGAAAAAAATGAACAGGTGGTCTGAGATCTATGGGACAACATTAAGTGGTTTCATACATGTGTTTTTGGAATCCTAGAAGGAGAGGAAAAGAGAATGGTGCAGAAGAAATATTTGAAGAGATAATATCCAAGAACATCCCCAAATTAATGAAAGACATAATCCCAGAAATCCAAGTTCAGTTGAACCTCAACAGAATAAATACAGGGTGGAGCAAAAGTAGGTTTATAGTTGTGAGTATGCAAAACACAGTTTTTATTCCTGTATTTTTATTCATTAATTATTGTATTATTTTCCATACGAACAACTGTAAACCTGCTTTTGCCCCACCCTGAGGGTTGACTAACTTTACCTCAGTAATTTAAGTATTTCACTATCTTCTGACTTTCATTGATCCTAAGTATTGTATTGTCTGTGTTTATAATTTGCATTTTTGGTTTGAATACTTTTAATATCTCTTATTAGTCTTTTATACCCTGAAATATCATTATTTTGTGTCTAAGTGGGTTTCCTATATTAATTGGAATTTATTAGTATTTCAGGATTGAGTATTGATATCTTTATTTAACCCTGAAAAATTCTCAGCTCTTTCCCATTCTCTCTGATTTTTATTTGGGATTCTGGTTATATTTTATATTGGGTTTTCTCTTTTCCATTAATCTCTCTTTCTCTTTTACCTTCTTTTTTTGTTTTCCACCCATTTTCCTCCCAGTTTTACATTTTGTTTAATTTCTTATCTAATTTACAATTTACTCAGTTATTTTGTTGTATCCAATCTTCTATTCAAGTTTTCCATTAAATTTTGTATTTCAGTTAGTATTAGTTTTACCTAAGTTTATTACATAAAATGTCATATTTCAACATTTATTTTTGCATATTAAATTTTTTAAAAATATAATTCACATACGGAAAATGGAGCAAGTGGAAATATATGTAGCTAAAAGATTTATCGCAAAGCAGAAGTCTGTGCCATGACTATACAGGTAAAGAAATAAAATCTTGCCAGAGCTCCCCAATGCCACTCATATTCTCTCCCAATCACTACATCTTTCCAGGATAACCACTAGCCTAAATTTTATGGGAATGAATTTCTTGTTTTTAGTTTTACTAACTGCCTTGCCATTTGATAGACTTTTTTATGTTTTCCATTTTTTTCAATTTATTTAAATCTAGTAAAATAATATTTTATATCTGTCAGTCCCAATATCTGATTCCTTGCAAGAACGATTCTGCTCTTTGTTGTTTCTGCTGATTCCTATGGCATCTTATTTTCTTCATATATCTTTCCTCTTGGAGTTTCCCTTACTTCCATAGAAGCCCAGCTATGTACTTAAAAGTTTTAAAGTTTTATGAAGCATTTTAGGTGTTTCATAATGCTGTAGCTTATTCACTATATTGTCAGAAATTAAAGAGTTAATTCATTTTTGAGAGCAGATGGAGTTTTTGTTTGGGGAAAATAACCTTTTGACCTTTTGCCCATGTCAAGGTAAAAAAAATCTCCCATAATATGACTAAATGACTGCATAATCATAGACAAGATTCACTTTATTCTCTGTTGTCGGAGGTGCATCTCTGTAAAGGGCTCTGAGAAGTTAGGTCAGGAAGACAGAGCTACTTACAGCCATAAGTAAAACAACTGCAAAAAACTGCATAGTATAGTCTCTAACATATCACTGAATTAAAAGGTATGGTAAGTATATATAAATGTGTAAGTGTAAATACATATATGTAATATTTTACTAACCTTCATTAAATATTGGGTCCAACACCATTTTCTTGTTCTAGTGCCAATAATTTCTCCTTCAGGAAGCTCTTCCTTGCTTCCCAGTCTTGCAAATTTGGTCCAAGTTTTTATATAAAGGTTACCATTTATCAAAAAAAATATTCCATCCTTAGTTATGCTCACATTAGACACATTGTGTCTTTCTTCCTTAGTGAGGATGCCTGGAGGCACTCTGACTCTGCTCCAAGTATGAAATGAATCGTTGGTTTGAAAGGTCTCCATATCGGCTACAATAACAACAGATGAAGGCGCGCAATCGTTCCAGTCCATCATTAATGGGCTACCATATGGTGAAGAGAGTGGTAAAAAGCCAGGCATCTCGGGTATTGTCAACCAAGGAAAACTCAGCAGGAAAAGCAAATCTGAAACGAAGCAATCTTGGAAAACCACCTGATTGCCCCTGATCCTTTTCAGCACATCATCTGCGGATATTGGTACCGAGATATGCCAGGTCCTAAGACGAGGAAAACAGAAAATGCAAGAATAAAATGGTATCTTTCTCTTCTCCCACCCATCTTGCACTGTGTTGGCATTTATCATCTTTAAAATGTTTATTTTATTTTTATCAACATAAACCTGGGTAAAATAAACCACAGAGTACTAAAATGCTGCCCATTTCTCATCCTCTTCACACTTGTTCCCAAAGGAAAACAGTCTTGACTCTTAATGCTCTTTCCTCTGCAACATGTCTTCATATTCTCAAATAAATATTCTTATACTGCTCTCTGAATATGTGATTTTTATACATTATCTGCTGGCTTCTTATATGACAGATGAAGATGTATCTCTCGCAGCATATACCTACAGATACATCTTCTTTTCTCTCAAATTAATGTCATGATGTTTAGCTAAATCTATAGTTTATATTATTAACAGGTATATATTGTTTACTCCTGAGCTAGTTATTATACTAGGAAGAGAAAATATATAATCATATCAATAAGTGCGTAAAAAGTATTTGACAAAATCCAACACTCATTCATAATAATAAAAAAAAACAACACCTCGGCAAACTACCAACAGGAGGGCACTTCCTCAACCTGATAAAGAATCATCTTCAAAAGAAACACACAAAAACCATGATGATGGGAACCTATGTCCTTTCCTCGTAAGAACAGTCACAAGGCGAAATGTCTCCTCTTACCACCCCTAGTCAACACCACATTGGAAGCGCACATTAGATCTTTTAGTTATAAGTTTCTTGGGGCTCAAGAGGCTAAGAAAGGCTGTGTAAGCCTCATGATAACTTACTAACCTAACAGTACTAGATTGCACTTCTCAAGCGGAATTTGTGATGTGCAGTTATGTGTGTGCATGCATGAGCACGCACAGGCCTGCGCACCGCTGGTCGCAACACTTGTGACATCAGTCACACCACTGTGATAGTCATTTTACTGAATTTTGAAGATGATTTTTTTTTATTAGAAATGTAAAAGTTAAATACCCATTCCTCATATTTCTACTTGGAAAATAAATTTTTTTCCTCATAAACGAATGTATGGTTGGCTTCTGTCCCAAAGTGGCCAACTGCTTGCTAAGTACAATGGAATTCTGTAAAAAAAAAAAAAAAAAAAAAAAATTCTTTTTACTCTTTTCACAGTCAATTTTATTTGGAAATTACATCATGTNGGAATTCTGAAAAAAAAAAAAAAAAAAAAAAAAATTCTTTTTACTCTTTTCACAGTCAATTTTATTTGGAAATTACATCATGTTATTTTGATTTTTTTATTTTAGTTAAGACATTGTTTGTATTGATAAATTTACCACATTTTCAAGATTCAGGTTTGCTTTTTTCCACCATTTGTCCCCCCATTAGAATTTATGAATTATAATTAAGTCATAATACAATTTGAATATACTATGCACAATCAGAATCCTGAATGAACTAAGACTATGAGGACCCTTAAGTGAATACCCTTAGTTTTACTATCAGTGAAATACATAATGGAGCCTCGAAAACCAATCTGTTAGAATTCTCTCTCTATATGAACCTGCCTTCAAAGCAACATATCCTTTCAAGGCAGGTTTCAAATAATATCTGGAGGCTTTAACAAAAATTTCCTTAGTAATAGACAGATATGACATGCTCCTTCCTTTTCTCATGAGATTTAAGGAGAGGTTGAATTGACCGGAATTATCCCTAATAAGGTGGTTTTAGAATAGAGGCGATGGTTTTATTATGGGGAATCCCTAGAATTAAAAAAAATCAGAGAATGAGGGTCAGTCTAGAATTCCATAGCTCCCTTCTGCCCTAATCCTCTAATAATACTTCTGGTTTAATTTCCTAGAAATATGTCAACCGCCTACAAAGGAGGCTTTGAGATTGCCATGATGAGTGTCAGTAAGGGTGTAGCCACTGGAAATATGGGATTATCCAATAGGATGATTTAACATTTTTAAAATTTTTTTTTTTTTTTTTAATTGATTGCAGAGAGAGGAAGGGAGAGGGAGAGAGATAGGAACATTGACAATGAGAGACTCATTGATCGGCTGCCTCCTGTACGCCCCCTACTGGGGATCAAGCCCGCACCCCTGGCCTGTGCCCTGACCCTGAATGGAAACATGACCTCCCGGTTCATTGGTCAATACTCAAGCGCTGAGCCACGCGGGCCAGGCTACCCTATTTTTGAGAGTAGGAATGGTGGTCAGGGAAGGCCTCCCTGAAGAATACACATTTAATGATTTTGATAGAGAAATACAGCTTCACCTGGTAAATAATGAATAATAATATTTTTATTTTGTTTCTGAAAGTCATATTCACTATTCAGAATGTTAAATACAACTATCTTTCATATTTCTGTATAGAAAAACAGTAAATGAAGCATTCTTAACATAGCTTGGATAAGATAGAAATAAAATATAATAGGCAACACATATGACAAGATGACAGAAAAAGGGACAGGTCAAGAAAAAGTTAAGACAATCATGTCAACAAACTTAAAAATATGTTTTTTCATTAAAAGGGTAATTCATGGTATTAAAGAGAATTTTATAAGCATAGAAAAATCACCACATAGAAATGATCAAAAATATAAAAAAATAGTGTATTTTCTTAGGATTTACCAAATGTAGGACATTGTTATATATTCATGTTATATAAACAGAAGTCAGTATAAATGATAGCATGATATTCTACTGAGTGAATTATTATCATTGAATTAATCCTCTATTGGACATTTAGGTAGTTTTATTTTTTTCACTATTGGTAATATTATTGCCATAAACACCATCAGACAGAGTCTTTTCCACAGTTAGGGCTATTTCTCTTTTGATTAGATTCTTGGAAATATGATTACTAGGTCAAAAGTTATGAATACTTAAAAAATTATTGATACATATGACCAAAATGATTTCTTAGAGAACTATGACAACTTACTTTATTACTAGCAACCTGTAACAGAATAAATTTTCCTATGCTAGTGCCAACCTTTGCATTATTATTTTTAAAAGTATTTTTCTAGTTGTAACATTAATATGTGAATTTGTGTCTTTGCTTACGATGTTTCCTCTATAGCAACTGCTCATTCCCTTTCTTTTCTGTTCACATTTTAGGTCTCAAGTCAGGTATCACTGCCTCCAAGATGCCTGCCATGATCAAATCAGGATGTTTTCACATGAGTGGTTTGAGGGAATTATTTTAGTGCTACAGTTTTGATAAATCACCCACAAAGTAGTTCTGTCAAAATGTAAATTGTCTCTTTGGGTTTTCATCAGTCAACGTGTAACGTGCCTAAGAGACACTCAAATCCTAACTCTGTCCCTGACCCTTCATCTTTCATTCTCTTACTTAACCATCTCTGACTGAACTCTAAATAATCCCTAATTTTTGACTCACTCCTGTATTTTATTTCACCTGTGAACCTCAACCCACCCCCTGGCTCAATAAGGGACTGGACAGATTTTTTTTGAGAGATGACTTCAAGATAGATGCTCAAGGAACACTCATAAAGCACTTTAAAGGTCAGCCCCTTCATGAGCAATGGGACGCACAGAAAATGTGAAAAATGCTCAGAAAAGAATTCTAAAGAAACATTTAAAATTGTAGAGATTGAGCACAAACTCAACTTAATGAGTAATTAAAATGTATTTAGTTAGTTCTGGGCCACTTAAAATAAATTACTCACAGCCCTTAAAAAAGAAACGTAGCCTATTATTTTATCTATGATAATAATGTTTCCACCTACTGGTGACGGTTCATTTGCACTCCACAGCAACTCTTTTGGATCTGCGTTTTCTGGATCGTATATCCATAAAACGATAATCTACAAAATAAATTGTTGGCATTTCTTTAAATTTTGGACACATTTCATTTTTAGTTGTGGCAAAACATAACCATAAAAATGTTTTTATTTATTTTTAAAATCATGATTGTCCCGTTTTTATGAAACAACTCAAAGACATACGAAGGAAGAGTTAATAAGATGCCTCTACATCTGAGGTAACTAATGTTAAAATTTCATAGGAATGCTTATATATCTTTCTCTGCGCTCACAGACAGACACAGCACCGCCCTCCCCACCCCC